ATAATCATTTATCATGTGAATCTCACTCAAAGAAATATGACTGTGATTGTGTCAATACTACTAAGCAATCCTAAAATTCACTTTTCTGATTATTCAAACTGTACAATAATTTTCTGTTATGTTAAATCAAACGGACTGCACAAGAGCTTATTAACATTTCATTGGAGGTTGGAGATTATCAGCCCAATTCCCGCCATAAAAAAACACAGCCACGCACGCTTAGCCCCACCAATTGTAAGTCGTAACAAAATAAAATAAAATAAAATAAAAATCTCGTCCGTCTGCACTCCGCCATCTCCTCGCGGAGGAAATTCCTAAACCCCCACCGATGAACGGTGCAATTCCGACGGTAACATTCCAGTCTGTTGTCCTAAACCCTAATTTGAAAACCCTTATTCCCCCAAATTCCGTCCCAACTTCAATCGCAGTCCATAATCTCTCTACCCGTAAAATAGTCCTTTCATTGACCAACAAAACTCCTGCTAAATCTTCAATAACGAAGAGGAGTTTCCAAGTCAGAGCTTCAGTTGAAAGCAATGGCGAAACGAGGAAGTGGGTAAGCTGGATACCCACCGGAGGTTTAGCTGCTGATAAGGTTTTGAGGTTGATTTCCACTGCAACCGCTAGTCCAATTTGCCAGTTCATCTCTTCACCTACCACATTTTTGCATTCAGTGGATCCCAGAATCAAATTGGTATGGATGATGATTTGTTAGGATTCGCCTGTAGGAATATTTCATCTTGGAGTTTTCAAACACATGTATGTTTTAGATTGTTTTAGATTGTTCCTCTTGCTAAGGTAACGTTTACATGCCATTTTTCCTTTTGGTTCTGAATGAATGTTGTGAAAATTACCTGTATTTCATTGCAAATTCTTTCCCAGTGATTTGGATACTTGGGCTTGGGTATGCAGGTATGGCTGTTGGCATTAGTTGTTTTACCAGCGCGAGCAAATATAGTAATTCGATTTGGATTGGTTTTATATACTGCTGCTTTGTCAATATGGA